CTACTGTCGTCATAGATGAATCGCATTTAGCATCGTTTCATCGATTCAATCGAAGAACGCAACGACGGAAAGTAATGAACACGAGTAGCGAATGCATCTTCAGCAGACGACTGAAACCAGCCATTGGAAGAAGATCAGAAGCCAGCATGTTAGTGTGACGAAGAAAGCTACCACTACTGATAAAGGGAATATCGTCAATGAGATAAGGAAAGCAATCAATTTCACGTGAATCTTACGTCGAATAGCGAAAAAGCTGAGTACAGAATACTCCGTCAATGTGACCGGTGCTACTGCTTCCATTACTGTGGTAGCTGCGGCTGCTGCCGGCGTTGTCGCGGCTTACTGTTTTTACAAAAAAGCTTGCTCTTCTCGTAGATGACTACATGGTAACGATGTAGTTCCATTCATTTTAAGAGCGCATACGTGTGTTTTGAGTATAAGTAGGAAATGATAAGAAGCCGACGATGTCAAACATCCGTTTTCGAACGTTCAGAAAGGTATCAGCATATGACTATCACTACAAAGGCCCAAGCGAACAGAATAAGAAGGCGACGTATTTTGTTCGTACCAGACACGTAGCAGCGGGGAAAAACATGTCAAGGGATATAATGGCGAAAATTCGCTGATATCGAATGTCGATACTCCACCTTTGATAACGGCAGGTATATGTTGCAGACTGGATAGGTGCTCTGGATATTTGCCGTAACAGACTACTGCTGCTGTTGATGGCCGTCGAACGGCCGTCGAGGTTGTTTTATGCTGCGTAAATGAGTGAACAATATTTCATAAACGGAGAGACGAGGTCTGACGATTTGTGTCTGGCCATGACTGGCCGTTCGCTTTGTTGGTGTTTCTGCTTGTTAAATTCTATACGTATAATTACAATATAGATAGATTTACCGGTGGCGTATTTATTTCTATGTGAACACCCTTAAGACATTATTGATTAAAAATGTATCTTACTGCGCTATCGATGAAACACATCGTTTGTGTTACAGAAGAACCGCGCAGAAAATTGTTGCTTTTATATTCCGGCTGAGGAAGGCCTCTTATTTATAAATAAAGGAGAATAAGATCCAATATGATAGGCAACTGCCTTATGATTCAAAGTTTGTCTATGTTGAGGTCACAAAGATTATCTATCCGAGTAGACTGCCAAATATCAAAACGGTCATAGCACTCAAAATGTACATTTTCAGCTACTTCTGACCCACGTTAGTTGCATGCGAGCTGTTGACACTCATTTGTTTAAGAAACTGAGAAAAGATCATAAATTTAATTGAAAAAAATGCAGATTGCATAAACATGTGTCTAGCTTAATTCAATGAACTAACGATTTCTACGTATCGTAAACAATGCGCAAAGACTTAAAGTCTGCCGCAGATATTTCCAAAGCATTTTCATCTGATTTCCTCTAAAGATAGTCAGAGCTGGATATGGCCGCTTTTTGGCGTCGATTGGTAAACCTGAAAAAGCGAAGAAGCCCAGAACTAGCCATACGAATGAACCTGATGCAATACAAACGTAATCAGAACAGCTCTTTTGTCTCAGCGGTATTAATGACAGACAAAAGCGCATTGGTGATAGCAAAAGCGACAGTATCCTTGAAGGCCTTCGTTGTCTTTTTAGTAATTGCATTATGTAATGTAAACGAAAGGCTGCCTTTCTGTGTAAAATGTGCAGAAACAGTAAGGTGCTCATTCATTTTCCTCTCAGTACGCTCATGTTAGTTTATAACCTTCTGCGATAACTTTTTACCAACACGTTGCGCAGCTAGCCTCCGCAGGCCAAAAGCGACTGATGAGGACGCATACAAATAAACACATATCACGCACGCCGCAAAATTCGCTTCTGCTCAAAAGCAAGATGCGCTTGCAGAAACAAGGGTTGTGGCCAGGCCAAAGAGTTGCCGCGTTGCTCCTTATCCAGGCGGTCAGTCGAGATCGCTGATCCTCTCAATGTGGATAACTCTCTCTTTTCGTTTGCTGTTATTGCAGCTTCGAACAATTTAAACAAGAAGGAAAAGCGTCGAAGCCAGAAACCCGTCATTTGTCCGCATTGTATCACGGGGTACGGTAGATAAATGAATAGATGCTGCGGTTAATGGTGACAATAAACAAACGGGACTGATAGGGACGTAAGAGGAAATAAATTGTGCCGATGCTTTTCGATTGGCAGGGTCTTAATTGTGGCATTAAAAGGAGAGAAAAAATATAAGGCAATTATTAATTGCTATATTATATAATCGATACTCTAATCAGGACGCTAGATGTACGTTCAAGATTTTGGCGACGAACAGGCCTGTTGGTGATAGGCGACTGTCACTTACGTCGTACTACTTTGATTGAAGCTGCCTACCGAATGAAACCAAAATAAAGCAATCTAGCTTGTTTTGCGCATGGGCTCTGTGGTTAAACCTTGGGCCTAACGAGGAACAATATCATTATATAGCAAAGTGAGTGTAGATTTGCGTTGTGATGCCTCGTTACATGGTTTGCTATGAAGAGGAGAAATTGGCTGCACTGTATTCACTTACTTCATAGCTCTACGACAAAACTTGAGTTTTTTTTAGTGGCTAATTCGCATCCGGAACACCGCAGCTGACAATGCCTCCTACTGATTCTGCATGACCCTCGTCAAATAGAAGCGTAAAAAATTTACATAGAATTCACACGAGCTTCAGTTTCCGAAATAATGTTATGTTAATCTAGGTTAATCGTTTCAGTTAAAGATAAGAAATTACCCCTAACTTCTATAAATGAAACATGGGCGAAGCCACAGACAGGCCAATTCATATCAGACACCTCGCGCCACTTTTCAAAAATTTCCCATTCGCCATTTCAGTCGGCGATAAGCAGACCCCAATTTCCGTTGACTAATCTTTTTACAGGCGACCGGTGATATGTTAATACCATGCCGCAGCGTTCGTGTGCACAGACCCATCCATGCCGATATTCTATATAAATACAGCATACACGCTCACTTGAACGTTCGTTCGAAGTATTGCTTTTATTTAGTGGCGGAACGAGACAAAACAGAAAAAAGGGAGGTAACACAACAGCAAAATAAGCGAAACCGCTGACTTGTTGAAATTGATTGCCCCTGCCTGTCTGCCCGTATAGCGTAAAGGCTAACAAGCTCTTAGTGTGACACAATTGAGTTATCGCTATGGCCGCTGTGTTCCTTGTCGTCATTCGACTGCAGCTGCGAAAGAAGTTCTGGCGTTAAATCTTGACAGGGTGTTAATTCATGATTGCGAAGACAAATACTCCGTTTTGTTCGCCGTCCTGTTTCGTTGCCCTCTGATTTTTGTCGCCTCTGTCCTATGTGTCCTGACTTTTCTTTGGCAATTACAGGATATTATTAGTGCTGTTGTCCATTGGACTGTGGGACTTAGAGCATCGAGCGTTTCCACTATACATTCAAATCTCACGATGGCGCATTCTCTCTTCTTGGTTTTGGTTCGTTCTACCGTTTACCGTCATCTTAACAGCTACTGTATGAGTAGACGACACATTGCGGCGTATACGCATTCATTACATACGTAACGTACGCATAAGCTGACACGTCACCGGTGATGGCGGCGCTAGCGGAGGGAGCTGCAGAAGATTAAATCGCACAATCTGCGTACATGACTTCAATTTTTAGCGATGTTTTTCTCGTTGCTACTGTTGTTATTGACGCTGTTAGTAACGTCATCGTAGCTCTTGACTCTGAAAGGAAATTGGGTAATATGTTAAGTTGACAGTATGACAGGAAATAACACACAACTCGAGGCAGAATCACTGGCGTCTGAAATGGAGAACGAAGCAGGGATTTCGCGAGCGACAAATTAGTGTAGAACCACAATGTCTGCGGTGGTTGACGTAATACGTATTTGGATTGACTTTGACTATGGATATTACGTAAAATGATGCACCGAATTCGTTTACACGTAAACTCGTAGGTGAGTGGAGTGAGCATGAGAGAAAAAGGGGGATATATTTTGGAGCAGAAAAAAAGGTACTACACGTAATTATCAGCGCATAATCATTGCTTATGTTGCGATTGGACTTGAGCAAATGCCTAAATCGTCAGCTATGAAGCCATATGAGTGTGCATATATATTGTGATTTCGTGCTGAGTACAAGCGGCTATGAGCTGAAAATTATTAAAAACCACTGGATGGCAGTTTACATGGGTGTCGAGCAGGTCGTTAGTCCCCACGTGAAGTCTGAGTTTAAAATGAGTCTCATTTTTTCATGATGACACCCAGTCATCTCTCGAAGATGCACATACGCAGAAAAAGAAGATTTGAAGATCGGTGGCACGTACTACATTCTAATTCTGACTAGAATCGGATACAGATAGCATATAAGGACTCGTTTTGGTACAACGGCAGATAAAAGTTTGCCTTTCTGGAAAAAATCAGCTTATAGCAAAACAGCACTTCCAGGAAAGCCTTCAAAAAGCAACGCAGTTGATCCGTGGACATTGTTTTAGAAATGAATTCCCCGAAATATATGGTATAATAAATTTATAATTTTAAATATTAAATTATAAATTATTTAGTTATAAATATGATATTATAAATTTATATTCAGTGTGGTCACCCGAATTATTTAAGTATGAAGCTGTTAAACATCTTTGAGGCATTTTTTAACATTGCTTTTCGTTTTGTTCTTTGTATGTTTTTCTCACATGTATGTTGTGAAAAAAGCGTGTGTACGAAGGAGAAGATGAACGAATCGACCTATAAAATGGAAAACGCTACGCCATTTCTCAGACATACTGCGCATTTTTCCGTAGATCGTACTCATGCGATCGTCTAGCCAAGCCGTAAGCAACAATCCATTGACACTGAACTGCCCCCAAGGGTGCATTTGCTATCATCCGCTTGCTTTTGTTCGCTTTTGGCTTTTGCTGTCTCTAAAGATAAAGAAAATATTGTTAAAGCGTTTGCCACTACATTATCAACTCATTGTCACTCCCATACGCATATTACAGGCCGGTTATCTACTGTTTAGTAGTGTTGTTGCAGGCTTGCAAGTACAACAGGACATCACCATAACACTCTAAGCACCGGATGCCAGGTAGTTTATTCCTTACCTCTGGAACAGATTCTAAAAATGCATCGTATGTTGCCGATATTAGATATGATATCTCTGTGGCCTGCATGTGTCTGTTACCTAGCGCCCTTCTTTGCCGCATCGGAGTCCGCATTTTTCCGTTCAGGAATGTTCATTGCAGTCCTTCACGTTCCGTTATATAAACGAGTCCCGCAAATGAGCCCTATCCTCTTCGTTCACGAACGGAGCCACTTCATTGTACTAATCACCTCGTATCGACTGGCCTGCCAGGAAGTGAAAGTACGCGGCTTGGCATGACTTCCTGGCCATATTACATATATATGCTTATGGTAGCAACTCCACTTCGAAACGTACATTTCATTGTGAGCAGAGGCAGGACAATGTGGTGCCTGTCCTATGTAGATGATAAGCGCAAGGATAGCTGCGCGTTGAAATCAGACAAAATTAAGATACGGCGAAAATCAGGCGCGTCAGATTTTGTAGTAGCTTTACGTATAGTATTTAATAGCGTCAACATCGCCTCCAATAGAGCCAGCAATTTCAGCAAATTGCAGGGCAGCGTATTCGTCATATGATGTTAATCAATATACGCTTTACGGCTAATTGGCTTTTAGCGTGCTATAGGCAATCCCGTCGGAGCCTGCGGGAATCAAGCTAAATGCCGTCGTCACATATGTACTTATCTAAAGTTAGGTTAGCCTGTACAACAAAAAGAAATTCCAATTACTTTCAGAAATCATTTCGATGATTTTCCGTCAGTGTGAAAAACGTGCACGTAGCGTCTCGACGACGAGAGAAAACTCTGAACGAGCCACTTTGCACCTGACACTTTCCTTAGACCGTCTCTCTTCCAACTGAAAACACACCTGTTTTGTGTACAAGAAAATCGTTCGACGGCTATGCAAGGACTTTCACTTCCAGAACTGAATGATGGATTGTCACGTATATGTGAGGTAATTGCCTACCTCATAAACCGGGAAGGCTAGGAGAAATTATAAGAGTAAGCTTCAATCCATCGCGTTGACGAAAACGAATCGAAGCTACATCTATTAGTCACTGCGTGTTTAACTGGGAGAGGAAACGACACGCAGCAGACTTGCTGACGGCAGCTGATGTTTCGTCTTTTTTCGTCCAATAAGTAAAACCGAATATAAAAACAGTCCGTTTACAGTTGCATGGAGGGCGTACAACGAAACATTAGCAAGAAAAAGGGCCAAACGAGATGGCACGTAACCCAATGTAAGGGATTTTTCTATAGGTAATACCGAAAATGGTTATGGATAGAATCATACCCAGAGCCTAACAGATTTCACCGAATAAAAGATAGTTTGGCTACCGACTCAAGGAACGTACAGCGAAGCTCTACAAATAATTAACGATATATGAAAATAGTAGCCATTCAGCAATAGATTCGTTCGTATTTGTTTTTAGGCGCACACAGTAATTCATTAATTCACTGAGATATATAGGCTGCAGCTTATGTAGTAAGTGGTCGCAAGGGCAAGCACTAAAGATTAATTATAGAACAATTTTAAATTAAGTACAACCAACATTCGTTCGAAACATCGTACTTTCGGGTAACGCTTTAGCCTCCTATATCTTTCAGTGTCGTACTGCAGCCACAAAATGTCCATCGTTGGAGCCCGTACAGGTTCGATTGTCCGTCACGAGGTGAGGAAAATACTCAGAATCTGCGTACTTTTTAGTTTACGTTAGCGTATCACTGAGCTGGCCTACGTTATTTTTTGTCCTTTTTGACCGCAATCAGTTTCAACGAACAAGTCTATCCGTATATGTACGTTTTAGTCAACATCGCGATTACATTTTCCCAAATGCGATCAGGTATTTCAACCGTCTGAATTATCACCGACAGCAGGAACAGGATCAGGCATATTTGTAGAGCCAGCTTTTGTTGTTTAACGCGCATGTATGTATGTATGTATGTATGTATATATGCTGGGATCCGGTATCGAACGCAGCCTTGTACTCCTGACGCTCCTAGCTCCTTACAAGTAGTTGTGTTCCGTTTTCGTATAGTACTAAGTCGCCATTGCAGATGTTTCAGCTTTACGGCTCTCCGGTGTTTAGCGATGCTATACCGCAGCCCCCCAATGGGGGTTGAGCGCCCGTTCTACAGCTTTATCTATTCATATTGAACTGGAAAGGAGAGTGCTTATAAATTGTTCTCTGGTTGCAGAAGCCGATCTCTTTGTCGTCTTCAACGAAGTATTCGCCTACAGCTAAGGAAAGTGGATCAGATAATTAGTTTTAGACAGGAAAAAACAGCGAAGCAAGAGATAATCTCTTTCGTTCATTATCGAGCTTGTGTTGCTGCCGTGGATCCACACAGCTGCTGGCCATGTACGCTATACATTTGAGCGTTTGAGCCGATGTGTGTAAGTAAGAAAATGCGCTTACTTACTTAAAATAACTAATTCCTAAGCATAGTCTTCACAAGACAATTAACATCAGGCCCGTTATCGTCTAAATTTTAACGAGATATTTGGATTTATAGCGGATGAAGCAGCGAGCGCTCGAAAAGGCCGATGGACCGCCGGCCGAATGACCAAGGCTATCTTGACATGCTGCCGGTATCACACATACGTATTCCGAGCAGCAAATCTGCCCTCTGCTGTGATTACCGTTATTAATCATAAGACCGTATTCATCTGTGTGCTACAGACAATAAGACAAACAAAATAGGATAGTCGAGCAAAAAAAGAAAAGGCGAGGGTGCGCAGAACGAAGGTTCTCTGTTTTGAGGGGGATTAATAAGCTGTTTTTATATGGTTATCCAATAATCCATTGTTTGATGAAACCAACAACGAACATATAGCTAACGCTAAGAGAATTTGTTTGTTGTTGTTATTATTAGTGATATTATGGCAATGCGTAGAGGCAAAGATGAAGATCGTGTCGGTGGAAGAGAAATATAATCGTCTGCTTGCCTATATATATGAGAATGAAGAATTAATACGCGCATATGACACGCTATCTTTCAAGGATAAAGTAATGGGCCTAGTTGTATTAGCGGTAGATTCTATTGTAATGTACCTATCACACAGCATAGCACAGGTTGCCAAAAAAAAAAAAGCAATTATTACAAAAAACGGATCTGCAAGGTGATGTTTTTTTTCCATTGATTAAGAGTGGTCGTTAACCAGAACGATTATTAATCAACACTGTAACAGATTGATTAGATAATGTCAAAAAGATAGCGTACATAGCCATAGTGAATAGTAGTTACTGTAAAGGGTACGTCGAACGGTCGAGTGACTGGCAAGAAATTCAAACGTGTCTGAAAAAAAGTTGTCAAAATATGTTAACTACCGCTGCTGTGGTTCGTCACGACTAACTACTCTGAGAACATCGCAACGATCTGATTGCCAGCAAAGCTGTTTTTCCGTAGCACTTTCGATGGACGGATGCAGGCTCATCTCTTCCGTCCTGATAAATTTGTTACCTACGGGCCGAACGACGACAGGTCAACGAAAGGCCATGATTTATGTCAGCGAAGTGTGGATAACATTCGCACCTGGCCGCCACAACAGGAAAATTAACGACTAACCGAATGTAGCAGAAACAAACACATTGTACTTGTCCGCAGTTGGATCTTCCTCTATTAATTTTTATCAAGTTCTTTACATCGTCGGGTTTCGATTAAGTGGCTGTATTTGTTTTGTCCCACAGAAGGGCAAAATTAGTTAAGATGATCCGATTGAGGACGTCTGCCTGTTTATCGACGTCTATGCTTGTTAGTAAATAAGAACCTTTTACTAACTTAATTTATACATATACATCTATAACGCAGGATAGAAAGGATTCCTAAATTTTACCGTTTCTAACTGAAAATAGACAAATTCTCTAGTCAAAAATAGTGGATCATGGTGTACTGTACATTGGAATTGAGCCAGCACCCATAAGACTAAGCCTGGCCAAAACCATCGCTCAGCTGTTAACGCAGACATCGCGAGGAAGTGAAATATCCGCGGAACTAACGGCCGACTAACTTCCTTTACTCCGGCTTTTTCCAAAGCTGAGATAATTCTTTCGTTTTTTTTTAGCCATTCGGAATCGTCCTATTAATAGTGCGTCGATTGGTACGCTGCTGTTTCTATTCTATAGCCAAAAAAGAACCGTGGCAGCGATGGGTGGGAAACGGCTCTTCAAATGTTTGCTCATAATTTATTAGCCTGAAAGTAATTAAAATGCTTGAACAGAATGCACGTGGTCCTGCTTCTCTATTATAATAGCTTGGTACTATAGTTAGTGTAGCCTTCGCAGGTTGAACCGTGTTCCAATGTTCTAACCACGGTGCACGAAGTACGGTTAATCCAACAGCTGTATCCGTTCCTATAGTCACCGCAATGGTACCCGAGTATAATAATAACAATCGTACGACGTAGCAGATAGCGTTTAATGGTTATAAAGCTAAAATGTAATGGGTTCTGCTTGATGCCAAACGATGAAGCTTTTCGTTTGCACGTGATGCACGCGTACACGTCTGAGAATAACCCCATTAATAATGAAAATTAAATTCTCGATGGGAAATTAGGTTACCATAGTTGTTGGCACTCCGAAGCTGACGCGTGGTACTATCGACCTTGTTGTATTGGCCGCGTCGATCGCCACCACTGCGAAGATGACATTTTTTTTTATCTATTAAAACGACCCCGCTGTTGAAGATGTACTCGAACAATGATTATGTACCAAATAGCTTTAAAAAAAAATACTCTTTAGTTAGATATGTGCTTACACCAAATATGTTACCGCACATTTAATTATGTCTAGAACAAACTATTATAAGTTAAGGAGGAAGGATAAAGAGTAAAGAAATGCGTGCATGCTGATAATTTCGTGTCTTTTATGCAGCTAGCTGCAAGCGAGTTGTTTCTTTGGTGTTACCCAACATAGGAGTCTGTGCGTTTGCGTGCGCCTGTAATGACCCCGCCCTCGTAAACGCGCCACATGAGTAACGAACACTTTCTGGTTGGTGATCGTCGACCAATTGTTGCCACAATGCCAGAAGCTATTAACAAATTTAGTACTACGCATACAATGCGAAGACTAACTTCACTTGCCGCTACTAGTGCTGACTTTGCTGTGTCTTCTCGGAGCCTATTAGCGCCCCTGGGGTTCTGCTGCGTCAGATAAGAGTGCCGCCTGCGACAAGAACGAGGACAGATCAGCGGCTGAACGCACGGTGCTCATGCGTGCAAATCCCCGTAAAGGCTTACTTTCGCCAGTGCGCACCACTAACCCCCTGTGTTCTTTCCTGTTGACAGTTAGTATACTTAGTAGAACCATTTCCCACGTGGCACAGGTCGCCGTGGTCAAAATCTTCGCATGCAACGGTGATGACGGCGCTACTGGTAATACTAATGCCGGTGGCCTCCTATTCCATGCGGGTATTTGTTCAACGCATGGCGGAATGGGACTCTTGAGCCAGCGACAGTGACACCAACAACGAAGGCTGCGCGAAGTCCCCAGGCTGGTTAACCTCATTGGATCGAATCACAAACACTAGCCGTGAAGTCCGCGACAGTTGAGCCGCCACCCAGCCGCATGAGTTACGCCGTCCCAATGGAGCTGTCCCAGGAGGACAGTGGTGCGTTGTTCGCACTTGAACGAATCAGCTGGAGCTAATGCTTCTCTCGGGTCGCCGTTTGTAATCTTTTCCACACTTTTCCTTTCTCTCTCTATCCACAAATCTCTCGTCAGTTCCCTTATAATACTGTTCGCTTAGCGATTCGTACGACTGGTGTGCCACTCACATAATCCCTCTCTGCCATAATCCCAATATGCATATAGGGACGCGCATACGCTAAAGGTTGCTTGTACAGAGGACACATAAAAGCTAGCTTTCGACCAGGCATTTTTCTTCACCTCTGGTTGTTACGATCAACCCGACAGAAATACCCGGGCGAGCTCGATAAACGGTGCTAAGGTAGGTGCTAGGAAAGACAGCCACAAAGCGCTATGCGTCATAGACGCGAAGACTTTAGTTTACACTACGATGGAGTGCTTCTCTCACTTCACAGATGGCACACTTTAACGTCAATGCAAAACGCTGACGGGTTCCCTTTCGTCAACCTGCTAAAAAGATTATCGTGGTATCACCTATTCTATCAAGTGTACAAAACATCTACGTCAAAAATCTCAAACAGGTAAGAGGAAAGAATAGTTGCTTGTGGCTTCAGCGGCGGTTGAGACACTGAAAAAGAATGCCAGCACGAAACATGACATTCCTTTCTCCATTCTCCTGCTGTTACTCCTATTAGAATTTAATTTTTACACAGTCTTGATCTTGGTAACTATGGATGAACCGAGCTGCTCGAATATTTCAGTTTTTTTATCTATATAATATTTATACATGCAAAGCAAAATTTTTCCCTAACCGATCGTCGACATGGGATGCTCAATGCTTCTATTTATGCGTCTGTGAGAAATTAACTATCCATATACGTTTACAGGAGGCTAGATGCACTCGCTGTGGAAGAGCACTGGGTGGGCTAGCCATCGAATGGTGAGCAGAAACACGCACATATAATTAGCTTGTTGGGTAAAAACACCTATTTAGATTCGTTTTTTTTTTTACTGATTTTTCAAGCCAGAATCTTGTGGTCGGAACAAGCAGTCTAAGGGGAACTGAAAAAAGGCGTCTGCAGTTCTTAACTGCTTAGTTAATCGAATTGCCGTTAACATGTCCTATCGAGGACTAAGCAGGTGATTTCCGGCCACCGCCTTTTTCATCGACTCAGTAATAATCCGCGTGAAGTTCAACCGCTGACAATTTGAACTAATGAATGTTATGACTTGTTTTCTTTACTCGTACAACTAGCATGTTGGAAGAAGGATACAGACGCAAGCGATAAATATTACTCTCTCATCGCACTTAGATAACGCTTCCGTGATGAGCAAGATTGAACGAGTAGTTTTCCTTCAAGTCGACAATAGATAATGGCCCTTTTAGATGTCATGTCACGCATCGAGTAAACATACTTTTCACAGAAATCGGCAGATGTGACTAACAGTCATATCTAGTGTAAAACAGAGATGAAAAGAGAAACGTTCACAGCGCTGGTACGAGAACTAATATTATTATCATCATCATTATCCACCGTCATGAAACGTAAAACGGAACCAGGGAGAAGTTCCGGTTGATAAGTTCAGAACTCAATGATGTTTAGAGGGATGAAAAAAGCCACCGTCAAGACAAAAGGCGAACATACCAGCTACATTGTTATATGCAGACGATGATTAGTGTCTGCTTTTAACGATGATGTAAGTACAGTTGCCTGTTCCAACGTCACCACCCACCTGCGGTCAGGAAATAATGAAAAGTGATCGACAACAATGACGACAATCGTCGTCACTGTTCCAGAACACGCATGAAAAATATACGTGCATATACATATATATATATATATATGTATATATTGCTGACTCTTAACGGTAAACATATCTTAATGAATTTGTTATTCGGTCGGTGCAAGTCATGGCTTATCAGCGGCTTCTAATCGGATGGGTCGAACGGACTTGCCAAATCGCACTCTGAAAAACTACGGCCGTACACGTGCTGTCCCATAGCTTCGGTTGAATACAAGGCTTCGTATGGATTCTATGCATGGACTCGAGCTTCAATGGGCCCAGATGCCTACTAAACTAAAAATGGTCATACCTGGCATTAATAGACTTTAGCATATACTTTATTATTGTATTACGGAATAGCGATACGACTCATGTTTATCTTAAACTTCCATTGCGATAAACTTGCTTAACGATTCTGCTAACATATCACGCAGGGATCATACCGATCGTCTCACTTGGGTCGCAACGTACATATTTTATCAGATCTCTATTGGCAATGCTCGTAGTCGACCTTAAGACAAGACCACAAAACAAGTATGGCCATAATGAATTGTTACCTACTTCCCACAGATTACTTGCTATCCGTCAGTAGTTTTCCTTGCCTCTCAGGAAGTACGTCTTCAGTAGAATTTTCCCCTTTAGTTCGTTGTTTTTCCCTTGTCGAAGTGTGCTCACTTCTACAAGTGGCTAGTGCTGTTTATTAAGCGTAAATTTTTTATTGGCGTGAAATATTTAACAAGGTGATACCTTGCACAGGCAAAATGAAAAATTGTAATTCGAAAAAAGTCACGTTCTGCACGGACACTCTAACGGACACACGCGTAAGTTATCTGGGAATTCTATCGTTAGCACAAAGTTGAATTAGTTAGATATAGAAGGACTTTTCTCCCGCTTTTAACCATTCATCTTCTGCTCATTCATCATTCTCAGGCTAGATACGGCTTCCTTCTAAACCGATAGCCGTTTCGGCCCGGTCAATGCCTCTCCACGGCCTGTCGTTGGCCATTTACCGCCAGACTGGCAAAAGCCACTACACTGCGAAACCATTACCCTTCCTTTTTGGTTCTCCCTGTACGAGTCTGTCGGATTTTAACAGCAACGATCGCAGCATTATCGATCCCTTGTTGTTACCATTGTTGCTGCTGTTTTTCTTCCCCTTCTTAATGGAGCGGTGACAGTTTGGCAGAAGCCCGTGGAACTCTGACAATGACCGAGCAGGGAGGCGGTGTTGCTATGATCTATCTATGTTGGAAATGATCGAATTCGTCACTTGTCTTCGCCGCTGTAGCTGTATCACTTTTGCTCGCCAAGCACAGTTACGTTGTGTCTGTCTTGCCTCTACGTCTTCTTTTTTTTGATCCTGTTTAGCTTTCTCCGCAAGGCTTTCGCCGATGAGAGACTACTCATCAAGAAGCTAATCGATGATCCGGCAGTAGCAGGAGTGACGGTCACGGAGACGGAGATCACGGAAGGCCGCTACGAAGTCCGCGACGGCAGCGCTCGTTTAACACTCGGCACTGGCTCGGGGATTCTTTGCCGCTTCGAAACGCCATCACCAATTGGTTGTTGTTGACGAGATTTGCGTGTACGAACGCCAGCGCTAATACCGACGAAAACAGCAAATGAAACGCACAATGTACCGTGCAGATACACATACGTACCTATATAGTGACATCATGAAAAAATCTGACACCTCACTCAATGGCACGTGGGGAGCTAAATAGGGGGAAATGAAGCAGAACTCCAGAAAGTTAGCTGCAATCACATTTGGGAGAAAGGATGAAGGGGGTCAGGCGCTCAGCGTTTCGATGTGATCGAGGAAGTGTTATGAAATCGCGGCGATGGAACAGAATGGACTTGCAAAAATGTTGCTGAAGACGCGGTCATCGCCTCGGTCACTAACTGGACCCTAGCTTATCGCCGAATAGAGGTTTGTTAAGAGATGGCGGAAATGAGTGAATAAACTGACGAATCGCTATAGGATAACCAATTACATGAGAGACATGGAAAAAGAGAGAGAGAGAGAAACGTTTCCTTGCACAAAAATGAAGACTGAACACCTCTATTTTGACGCTAGTTAAAAATTATGACCTGACGCTGTCCGTCTCTTCTCGTCCTTTAATTCTGCCTCAATGCAAAAGAACTTAGGAAGAGCGTCTGCCCTGGACCATGTGCTCTACTGCCGACTCTGCCGCTACCCGTAAACGTGATAACAATAGCAATAAGAAGAGTGTAACGGCTGCGGTCTTTATGATCCCCTTCGCCACACACACTTAACTACGAGAAAACTCTACGTATGTGGGGTGACGTATCTGTTGATTATGGTCCCGATCTGTATATGTTCCAATGAACTGGAACAATGCATTCGCGATTATTTCACATTACAGATCAGTATCTAACTGTCGTTAAAGCCAAACAGCGTCAATCGCGTATATATACAAATGCAATTTTACGACTTCTTGCCCTTACTGTCAGGCATCCCTAAGCGTATTAAGTCGGCACAATTTAGAATTATCTTGAACGGCTACAAAAATGTTACGTAAGTAACGGACATCAAAGCTTTACTGTGCCACTATTTTCTTCGATTTCTTCTTGAGAATGGCACGACCGATTAATACAAAGGTTCAAAATTCTGTGCCACAAACAGAAACAGGCGGCTTGACGCACGGCTATCGAACATGGGAACAAAACATAGTAACTTTTATATGCATAAATATTCAGGCCAGGAAGCCTTTGGACTGACTGAGCTTTTTAGGGAGTTTCGGTGTTCCAAATTATGGGATAACTACGGCAAATTGGACCATTGGCTGTCAAAATCCTCCACAGAATATTTGTGTGCGAAGGCCTATATCTGTATTACGAATAGCAGAACTCGACCGATGCACAGGTATTCCCTGTGATATTCTTGCTTCACTAAATAGACATATTTCTTGCCACGGGCCGGATGTTGAGCCCTGCGTGAATACAGAACTTTTCTTAGAAATATGTTTGCGATTTGGTATTGCCCACCGTGAGCAGATGAGCCTCGTCTACCCATAGGTACTAATAAACCGCTTTCCAACCCTACATCACATCACGGTAAAAGCACAAGGCGGTATTTAAAAAAGTGATAATAATAACAATAATAGCATTTACGCGGCTCAAAGAACGCCGGTTAAAACAGGCCTCTAAGCAATAATTGCCCTTTCAACGATCTGTTCCCATTGTCAAATCCGCATCCATGCCCAATACGGCTTTCATAACTACGATAGCACCTATGATAGTAACGTACCACTTACAATTGTTGCTCAAATAAAACCAATTGAGTCTGGCTATCTTCAACGCAGGAGTAATAACACTAGCTGACGTCTATGTGTAATAAAAAAAAAAAACAACACTTCTTCATCGAATTCTAGTACCACTACTGTTACTCTTCGCTCCTCGCTTTAATCTTAGCGTTTCAATCGTACGATGACGTTTATGTTGCCGGTACCATTAAGTATTCTGAGGGTGTGAGCCAATAGATATCTGCTTGTGAATTAGCCTATCCAATAAATATTATCACTACGAGCAGTGAAAAACTATCATATCATTAGAATCCACGTGTTAACAGCTAAAGAACATCGAGGGGGCAATGCAGAGGGAGGGTCCGATAGGCAGGCCAACAGAAAAATCGAACTAACTCACTAAGTGAACGGTGGTGAACATCTGATTTTTCTGTGTTTATATTGATGCTTTTGGTGGGGTTATTACTGTTAGCCTGCTTTTGGCCTAGTCGTGATGTTCTGCAGGTATGCAGCGATCCGTTCTACGGTCAACACGTGAGGTGGGGGCCGTACTCGGCCTCACTTAACCTGCTGTCACTGAAGATGAGAATTAACAAGGTGTTATAAAAACGTTCGTGCTCAGCACGCCGCCGTCGCCTTTCGCTATTCTTAGTAGTTGCCAATCCTGTATGAGACGCTAACAAACATCTTCACCGTAAACATCTTCTAAGTGAGCGTTGCAGTCAATGGTGTTATCCATTTAATTATACAACAACAACATAGGTACGCACATACGAACGTACACATTGTACATTGAAAAGAAAGAACACAAGTTTCGATTAATCACAGGGGCGCGTCCTCACTTCAAGTCATCTAACACACCTCAGCCTTGCCCCGTCGCTACAATCGC